GCACCAAAGCATTTGTTCTTTCTGTCTGAGAAATCTCAAAGACATTACTGTCTCCAAACCACTTCTTATGTTAATTTCTTGGCCAGGGCTCCTAGACTCTGAGGTTAATATAAATTGCAGCTCCTCAACTGGAAAGAAAATAGGCTTTTTCTTCTCATCCAGATCATAGTCTTATTAACAAACTTTTTTTGCCTCTGTGCAGTGAGTGGCTATTATTTATTTTTTTCTGTATATCTCATCATTTCCTTAAGGTTGAGTGGAAACCTCCAAAATGTTCTGGCTTTGCAGTTGCTTGATTCCTTTCCTTGTGTGGGTCCCAGGCTTCGTCTCTGTCCCCAGGAGGATAAAACTTGTGCTAGTTCTTACCCATGCTTCTTTGCCCCAGTCTGGCATCAGAACTGAGCCCTGCAGACTGCCTTTCTTTAACTGGCTGCTTCCAGTAAGGTACTATGTACACTTGTTAGGATCTTCCAATAGAGGGTGCTGCAGGGCTATTTTAACTACGGGAGAACTGGCATTTTCCCACTGTTTTGTTAACATGGGAGCCAGTGGATCAGCAAGGAGTCCTGGGGTGCCCACCACAGTGGCCAAAGGCTCTTGCTTCAGTGTTGAGCCCCCTTCAGCCCATAGTGGCGGGGCTGGGGGTGGGAGGACGTCAAAAGAGGCATCTTCCATCATTGCCTAGTGGATAGCACAGTGGCAGGGGGCAGCTTTCTATGGCATCCATGTGCTCAGTTCAAATTGCGCTCCTTAAAAGGCTCTTCCTCTGTATTTCCAAGTTATCCTTGATCACTTTTGTTCAGTTTTAGGGATGGCAGGTGCTCCCTGCAGTAGCCACATCTGCTTGATATTAGTATTTCCTTCTGACATTAACCACCCCTGACCTACTTTGTGATTCCTTTTGTTAAACTGTCCCTGTTGGAGTTGCTGATGTGGCTTCCACTTGGCATGGAGGATATGGAACAAACCTGGCCCATAAGTGCACTCCCTATCCATCCTGTAGCTGTTCCTAGAAGCGTGCTCTTTGTGAATGCAAATGTTAGATATAAAATTATCACTTAGTGTACATCGTGTTAGGTGATACTGCCCAACTAGGAGCTCATCACACACCCAAATCCAGGAGAGAATGTGCTGCTGCAACTGAGCCAAGAGTTCCATGATTTATTATTCAGCAGATGTTTGTGGCTATTTTCTTGGAAAACCACCCATATGGGCCGTTTAACTATTTAGTTATATAAACATAAAAAGACTATCAAGAAATAAATGGATTTGAGAGGGTTTTTTTTTGTTTTGTTTTTTGTTTTTTGTTTTTTGTTTTTTTTTTTTTTTTTTTTTTTTTTTTTTTTTTGCTGTGTTCATTTGTTGTCTGACCTGGAACTCACTATGTAGCCCAGGCTGGTCTCAAACTCACAGAGATCCTCCTGCCTCAGCCTCGCGAGTGCTGGGATTACAGGCGTGCGCCGTCATGCCCGGCTCAAGACAGCAGAAATTTTAAGGAGCTAAAACACTGTGCAATAATGTAAAAAGTTGTTTCTTTTTATTATAGACAAAGCTGGTTCTCTCGGGATTTTTGGAGAAATGTTTTTAAGTGTGCATTTAAGCTGTGATATGCCTGCAAAGTGCTATTTACTCTTGAGGAAACAGCTCTTGTTCAGGTTGTCATTAGGTGTCAAGGAACTGATTAGACAAAGTGCACTTACCTTCTACTTCACAGTGTAAGTAAACACGTACAAAAGTAGTTTTAGGCAATGCTGGGCCAACTTAAACCTGGACTGGATACTGGACTTTCACATGATATAACTTTAGACTGAATAAGCAAGATCAAGGAATGACAAAAATGCTTAAGAGAAAGCTGTTCTACTCAGCTTCCCATGACAGGACAGTGCTCAAAACAGAAGAGTTGTAAGCAAAGAAATGACTCATATTTGGAACTACATAATCCAGAAGACAGGTGGAGGTGTACATTGTATCCAAATGTGTTCCAGAACATCTAACAGAAAAAAAAAATCTCTCCCTTTAATTTTTGAATTAAATACTAGAGAGCAAAGACTTCTGAAGGGAGTGGTGCAGAAGAGAGATCTTGTTACCTGGAAGGTAGGGACAGAGAAGGTCACTCTAGCAAAGTGACACTGAGAGACCATCACTACAGATAATTTAAATAGTCTCTTACTAGTACTTTGAATATTCTGCTTGGTCAAGTTATTACATAAATGAACAAGTTGTGATTAATCAAATACATAAATCTAGGAATACAATTGACTGTGGTATTTACTGATTTTATACCTCTGTCCATATTTCAACATTGGGAAAGTAGTACTGCACCATAATAGAGTAGTAACACAAGCCCCACCATTGGGAGACCTGGGTTTTGTCTATATTATACCTTTCGTCCATTGTATAACTGGGGCAAAGTCCTCTAGAAACTCTTTCTCATCTGTAAAACAGTTCATCTACCTGACAAACATGCCTTCCAATTATGAGGTTTCTTCCTACCAACTCTACTTCACTTGACCAAATGTTTAAAAAATTTCAGGGCTAGGGATTTAGCTCAGTGGTGCTGCCACCTGCCTCACAAGTGCAAGGCCCTGAGTTTGATCTCTGGTACAAAACAAAACCAAAAAATTCAAAGCTACATACGTTATAATTAATCTAAGATTCTTGATATGAAATTTGGTGAAAAAATACATGATGATAAATTCCAACGACCTCTTAAATTAGCTTAGTAATTTATCTATTTCTTTTTGGTTTCTTTGTTTTGTTTTGTTTTGTTGGTTTTTTGAGACAGGGTCTCACTATGTAGTTGAGACTAGAACTCACTATGTAGCCCAGGCTGGTCTCAAACTCACAGTGATCCTCCTGCCTCAGCCTCCTGAGTGCTGGGATTATAGGCATGTGCCACCATGCCCAGCTTATCTAATATATTTCTAAAAGCAAAATGTTAAGTAGACTGCCTCAATTTTTTTTTTTTAATTTTTTGAGACAGGGTCTCACTATGTAGTTGAGGCTGACCTGGAACTCACTTTGTAGACCAGGCTGGTCTCGAACTCACAGCAATCCTCCTGCCTCAGCCTCCCGAGTACTGGTATTACAGGTGTAAGCCACCACGCCCAGCTGCCTCAATTTATTATCTCCCCACATTTATGTATCTGTAGTTGTTACCAAACTTTAATGGAACTGGTTATTGGCTCATCTTTCTGTGGACGATTCAGATTAAAGTGTTTCATAAGCATTAAATGCTCATCAAATTCACAATCTTTAAAGTCATTGTTAATATTTTGATATTTACCATCCATTCTTTATTTTTCCCTAGGAATGTAAGAATTTTTTAAGAATGTATATATTTTGTTTTAAACATGATTTGAAATATATATATATATACACATATAAATTTCTATTGACTTTTTCACAAATTATTTGGAAAATGCTTTTGTCTTTCATAAATATTTCTGATAGCCACGTTAAGAATATACTAGAAAATTTAACCATCCTTCAATTGTTAGGTACTTAGTTTGTTTCTGACTCTTGAAAGATATTTTCAAGTGATTTTTCAGAATGAGTTTCTCTTGCCTGAAGCAGTTTAGGTCAGCACCATTTCACCGTTTGCTGGCAAATACTGAACATTTGTAAACCTTTATTAACTTGACAAGAGAACAATGACTCATCCTTTTTAGGTTCTTTTGCTTATTGATGTCATTTTTTAAAATGTTTTAGTCATTTGTGTTGATTCTAAAGATCATTCATATCCTTAACTAAGAGAACAGATTTACTTTTGAAATTTTTTTTTACTGAGATTAACTTTTCATAAAGGTTATAAGAATGCCCACAGGAAGAAACACCCTATAGAGTGTACAAGTCTACAGCTTATTCAAATCAAACTCTTTATTTATTATCTTGAAAACTGTAGCACAGTATCACAACCCCTACCCTGACACTACACGGCCAAGACACAGGCTGTCCGCCACTGTAAGGATCCCCTGCCCGTGCCACGGCCCTGACAACCACCTACTCTGCTCTCCGTTTCTATAATTCTATCATTTCTAAAATGTTACATAAACAGAATTACACAACATGTAAGCTGGTGAGATGGGCTTTTTCATTCACCATTACCTCCCCTGGATTCAAGGCGTATTTATCAATAGAGTATTTCTCTTTATTGATGGGTAGTACTCCACGGGATAGTTATGTTTCCTCAAACATTTACAGTTAAATACTGTTTCATCTACATTTTTACTTGATTTTAGGGTCTGGAAGGGGGAAAGAAGTAGTCAGTATTTAGAAAATCAATCATTCACCCAGAGCAGAACACTGGGCCAGTATTATTCTATGTACTTCATTACAAAAACGACTCAGACCCAAATGAGATTAGTTACCACCAATGGGAATGCTAAAAGCCTGGTTGGTCTAGATTTCAAGAACCAAGAAAATGAGTAGCAGAAGAACACTTTATTAATAACAATTTCTGGAAATACAACAATTTCACTAGGATTAATGAAAACAGGCTATTTTTTTTTTTTAAAGAATTTGATTAGTTACCGGAGCATCTTAGCCACTGGGCTAGGCATTTACTAAGTCACGCCTTGCATCCGATTTTAAGGCCACCTGCGACACGTCTGGCATGTAAAGCCCCTTGGGGAAGGGGCCGCAGACCAGGGCGCTCTCCGTCCCGTCTCCACAGCGGAAGGACGAGGCCGGCTGCTCTCTTGTCCAATTTTTCTGGATCACATCCCCTCTCCCGAAATTATTTCAAGGTTTTATTTAACCCAAACAAAACTTGGCCAGCGATGCCCCAGTAATAAGTTTCGCCGGTACGCTGGCAGCAGGAGGCTGGGAGCTCCCCGAGGCCATCGGCCCGGACTTTGCCCACGCAACACTAAAAGCCACGCCGCTCACCTTCCTCGCCGCCGCGGGTCAGGGCCCCACGGCAAGCAGCTCACAGGTGAATTAAATACTAGAGAGCAAAGACTTCTGAAGGGAGTGGTGCAGAAGAGAGATCTTGTTACCTTCCTCGCCGCCGCGGGTCAGGGCCCCACGGCAAGCAGCTCACAGAGTTCCCGTACAAAGTCCGAAGACTAAGCCTCGATTACACGACACCTGGTGTGCTCGGAACCACAAGGCCGGAAACTGCAAGGAAAGAAGGAAAACTTCTAGCCCGACCGAAGCCGGACCGCAGCAACACACCCACGAACAAACCCAGCTGGCTACGAGGCCGAAGTTCTTGAATCAGAGGCGGGCGGACGTGACGTAGACCGTTCCCCGGAAGAGGCGGGTGGTAG